ATATAAAGGAATAATATATATTCAGTAGACCCCTCCTATAACACGGGTTCCTATAGTTCGGATTCCTATATCACGGCGAAAAAATTGCGACAGTATTCGTACAAACATGCTAAAAATACTCCTATAATTCGGTAAAACGTCATCGCCGACTCGTGTCGCGACAGGATTGCACAAACCGTTGAGTTTAAACGAGCAGCAGACCTACTAAAAACCATTTATTATTTAACGTCCATAAAAATTATATTTATATTAATGATGTCTCCAAAGTTCAGCGAATTTTCCGCAAAAAAAATAATTTATCAGGAAGCACGCGAGTGCCATTTGATGACAATCTCCACGACGAAAACAAGCTTAAGCAACGGCGTAGTCGAACTGTGCACACTCGGTAAGTAATCCTACAATTTTTTGTTTATAGCATAGTTTATATGGATTATTCCCAAAAAATTATACGTGTTTGGAAATGTTGAGTCTAATCAGGGGCGCCGCTAGCAGTTTGAACGCCCGTGTTCAATACTGATTATGCCGCCCCCTGTTTAACTACGATTACCTACGCTGAGCTTGCCAGAAAGGCTCTTTAGTGTTGTCTCATAAGGAATTATAAAAAAAAACAAAAAATATTAATAATTTAATCAATTTATGTATAATTTTGTGTTTTGATAATATAATTAAGCAATTCATCCTGTTAAAGCATCGCTTAATTAGATTATTTTCTACGCAAGATCTTTAACGTCCATCATATTCTCAGATAATCATGCACAGGGTCTAATTTATTCCGATCTTCTTGCTCTCATTCTTCTCACCCGGCACTCCAGACAGCATACAATTTGACATATTTATCAACTGTCTATGCTGTCCTGATATGGACATTCTTCACCAAAAAGTGCACAGAGCTGCCACAAGTTATTTTCCTACAATATTAATAAACGCATTTCCTTCCTGATCCGGCTATCACCAGTAGCTGGTTAAAACAACTGAACACTGATAATATTGGATGGCGTATTCGCCAAAAGGTTGGCGCGTGGAGTTTTCCAGGTTTCCTTTACGTGTCTAACACTTAAATATAGAGCAAGTTTCCCGTAGAAAATTTTTTCAGAGGGGACCCATCCAGTCATCTAATCAGCCATATTATCGACCGGCGGATGGACATGGTTGTAAAGGCATCAGCTTACTACTCTGGGGGATCCGAGATCAAGTCAGGAATTTTTCAGTGGCTATCCGTCCCAAATACATCCTGAGTCTTTCCTAAGCACCCGGCAATCCCCATTTTGGGTATGGCTGTCATAAACTAAAGGGAATTCAAAGGGCATAATAAAAAGGATTGACGGCCGGATGGCCGAGCGGTCAACGTAACAGCTACCGCTCTGGGAAAGCCGGAATCGAATCCGAATTCGATTCCCAGAGCGGTAGCTACCTGTTTATATTTACGAAGACAATTAAATTGTAATCATTGGAATTAAAATAATAGAATCTCGCACATCTTAATTTAATTAAATTTAGTTTTAAGAAAAATATAATTTAATTGAAGAGTTTAAAAAAGTAAAAAGGCTCATTTAGTTCCAAAAAATCTTCGCCATTTTTTATAACTCTTCCCGCCCTGTGGGCACTAAGAGAGCCTCTTTTAGCAAGCCTATTATGGATTCGTCCAGGCCCACAATGGGGAGGCCGGGTGATGAGGGATGGGACTCGACATATCCGAACGTACCATCCCCGAAAAATTTCTGAGAATTTATCGATCCAGTAAGGATTCGAACCCGAGTCCCCCAGAGCGGTAGGCTGCCACCTTGACCGCTCCGATCATCCGCAGTCCAACCGCGCAAAATTTATAAGATAGTATCGTGAACGAATTTAATAAAACAAACATAAATAAATTATCAAATTTTATAATTTATAATATCTATTTATAAAAGTTACCAATTAATATAAGATAATTAATTTAAAAATTTTAAAATAATTTCTTAACCCTAATTACTGTTTAGTAATAAGATTAAAAATTTAAAAATCTACTTTAAAATTTTAAATATGTAATGTAATAGTTCTCTACGTTTAAAACAAAAAAAGGAAGGGAAAGAAAAATTGTGACGTCATTCCACCAGTCTCATCAGCCATCTCGTAAATTTATCAAAGATGGCGGAGAAGGGGCAATCGTCTACTCAAGGCGGACAACCTCTGGTTAAAATTGGACATTACATTTTAGGCGAAACGTTAGGAGTAGGCACATTCGGGAAAGTTAAAAGTGAGTTAATCCGAAATTTGAAACAGAAAAAGACTTTAGATGTTATTAATTTTAAAATTAATTTTAAATTTGTGTATGATAGACTTTAAATTTGTAAATTGCCTATGTTTACATAAGCTTAATGCTTGTTTATATTTACGAAGAAAATTAAATTGTAATCATTAGAATTAAAATGATAGAATCTCGCACATCTTAATTTAATTAAATTTAGTTTTAAGAAAAATATAATTTAATTGAACGAATTTCTGTATTTTCTATTAAAACTTAATGCAAATATGAGAAAATTAATCAATATAAATTATTTCTTATGCATTAAATGAAAAAAAAGAAAAAACTGTATTAATTTATTACAGTCTACATTATAAATTCTATTGAATTGATACATAAAACGTCTTGTTTCAAGGTTAAACTTATCTTGATTCAATTATAGTAATCTTGAATAACACTGTTTACCTTTCATAGATACAAAAGAGTTGTTAAAGGAAGACAAATGTTTATTTCTCAGAGTTTTTTTTTAATGTAAAGTGGAATGAATAACTGGATGCTTTTATAAATGCAACATGTGCAAAAACCAAAAATGTAGCAAAAGAAATATAATTTATTGATGAAAACACACTTTTGACTACTTTTGGTGTTGCCAAGTTAAAATGGAAATTCCAATGAACTGTTCAAATGATTGGACGTGGCATGGTGGTGGTGGTTGTCGTTGCTGTTGTTTACAAACAAATAATTATTTTTCATGACTTCAAAAAATGACCTCCTGGTAGGGTGTCATTGTCTTTATAGTTTGTAACTGTGTTTTTTTGGTTGGTTTTATATATATCCAATTTCTCTAAACTTTTAAGATGGGCATTGTCTTTCTGGTGTGTGATATGTCTCTTGTTGAAAGAAACTTGAACTTGTTTGTCGGTTGTGAAGATTGTGAGTGTTGTGATGTCCTTTTTTAACTAAACTATTGTTCTTATAAGGATTTCTAATGTTTTGATTTATCAATCTGTATTGCTGCAGCATGTATGGATAGAAAGAGACTGATATTGCAAGATTTTCAGTAAATCTAAATGTCTGTATGGTGTTTCAAAAAGACTATGAAGAAATTTTTACTACATTTAGAAACTAGAACAGAAAAATAATTTTTTTCTTTTTTTAAATAGTTAAATGTAGGCTATAATCAAACTATTAGGTTGTTCGGAAAGTAATTTAATTTTTTTACCACTAGACAGATTAGTCGTATTTTTCCCACCTTTTTTATTCTAAACCATATTATCATTATATATTTTGACAGCTAGCATTTTAAAGCTTATTTGTAAAAAATTTTGTTTCATTTTGTGCAATTGTTTATTTTTTGTGTCCCATCAAATATGGAAGATCGAAAGCAGCATATTTTGCTCTTTTATTACCAAAAAGGTAAGAATACTGTTTAAGTGAGAAAAAAAATTGTGTGATGTGTGTGATGATGTATTGACAGAATGACAGTGCCAAAACTGGTTTACAAAATTTTGTTCTGGCAATTTCAATATTGAAGATGCACCACATTCTGGATGGCCAATTGAAGCCAATGAAAACAAAATAAAAGGTATTGATTGAAGCAAACTGCCGAATAACAACACATGAAATCACTGAGAGATTAAATTTGTCGAATTGAACTGTTTATGATAACTTGAAACAAATTGGTTTTGTTTCAAAGATTGATATATGGGTTCCACATGTTCTTAAGGAGAGATGCTATCTTTGGTGGAATTTTAAGGAAATTTTTTTTTGGAGCTTTTACCAGACAAGTTAACAATTGATTCGAAAGTGTACTGCCATCGAGTAAACAAATTGAGTAATATCATCAAACAGAAAAGGTGGCCAGAATTGATCAACAAAACAGGTGTAGTGTTTTACCACGATAATGTCAAATTTCACACAAGTTTGGTAACTCGTCAGAAACTGTTATAACTTAGATGGGATGTGCTATCACACCAATCATATTTGCCAGATCAAGCACACATGTATTATTACTTGTCCCAGGCTATACAAATTTTTTTTAAATGTAAGACATTTACTTGAAATGACAATGTCAAAAATCACTTGGATCAGTTTTTTGTAAGCAACGATCAAAACTTTTATGAATGTGAAATCATGCTACTACCAGAAACTATGACAACAAATATTTGACCAAAATGGTCAATAAATAAATCAACAAAATATTTATTATAAAAATTTTGTGTTTTTTTCCACGGAAAAAAAATGAAATTACTTTCCCAACAACCCAATAATTATTAAATAGCATAAATTTGGCTCAAACATAGGTAGTTAAGAGTCAATCATGAGCTAATTAAAAATTAATTTTGAAGATTATGGAAGAATATATCTGTCTGGAGTAAGACTAAAACTGCAACTTCTCTATGCAGATGCATAATTATTAATGCATTTGTATTGTTTAGTATAGACAGGCATATCTAGGATTTGAAAATATGGGTGTTGCTTTGGGCAGATTTAGGGATACCAAGGCATGTGCCCAGTCGCTTTTCAGAGAATATTACTTAATTACCTTAGAATTACTTTAGTTACAAACCTTATCTAATTTACTTTTGTTTTAAAATGACAAAACCAATTGCTTCAGTATCAAGGGGATGTTGCAACTGCGTAATCAATTATACTTTGCAGTTGTCTGTTCGATATATAGATTTCATGATCATTTTCACATAGAAAATGCGAATGAAATAAAATGTTTGACAAGTTGAATAAAATTTAAGTTAATGTATTTCAAATTGGAATTTTTAAATGAATTCTCCGAGGAAATTTTAATATAATGTAAAAAGAGTTTCTTAAAATAAATACTACTAATTTTTTATATAAGAATTTGGTGTAGATTAACTAGAATTCTGTTATTAAAAGATGCTGTAACCAAATTAAGTTGGGGAGCATGACTAATTTTAAGTGACATTAAATTTAAAGAGTTTATCTTGGCTGAATGCATGCTTTGTATATTGACTTAATAATGACAGGCTGTTTCAAAAATGTCTGATATAGTTTAAATTGTTTCCAAAATAGATTTATTAACCTGTTGCATAATCTGTTTGTTATTACTACACACAAACTTACAGAATTTTCTGTGAGTTTATATGAATATTTTCAATAATTTTATGAATTTATTTATATGATTTTGTTCTTTTTAAACCTACATTGAAGGTATACAAAGTCTCTCTATAACAAAATAAGTGATAAATAATTTTATATATATTGAATTACTGTACTTATAAAAATGCTAAAATGAGATTAAATAAATATATCAATTGACAATTCCAACAAACTATAAAGGGTGCTGTGTAAATTTAAAATGGCAAATGCAAGTAGGGCAAATTTGTTTACATTGACATTTGACATTAACTGATGTCTTGCATGTTGTTAATGTGGATATAGGTTCATGTTATTTAAACAAAAGTGAAAGTATAGTGAATGCAGATTATATTAATCAAATTTTAAGAAAAAAATTCAGTCAAGATTATTCTTATTGGATTGTGTTGCAACTTTCAAGTACAGTATACTAGGCTCGGTTTATTGCATTTTATCACAACTTGTTGTTACACATTGCTGTTACAATAATAATGACATTAATAAGTAACAATGTCAAATGGTAATGATAAATTAATGAAGAAAGTTTTTCTTGTGCAAAAACTCATGCTGAAATTTTTGGTAGGATTTTGTCTGGTAGTATTTTGCGATGACCCATTTTTATTTTTTAAACTTAATGTAGAAATCTGTTCACCCTTGTATTCATAGACCACTCCCATAATTTGGTTGAAGATATTTATGAACTATCCCATTTATGTAAATTACCAAATTTAAAAAATTTTTGTGCATCTCTTAAATGTTTTTTGTGTGTCACTTTGGATACTTGTATTATAAGTTATGTATCTTTACCATAGAAAAATGCACTGTTCCTACTGCTTATAACAGCAGAATTAATGATAGCTTTGAATAGGAATAAGGTAATCAATACCAGATGAGAGTGGAACAGTTTGAACTTTTGGACATGGCATTTTCAACAATATGAACAACAGTGCATTCTATCAAAACAAATATGCAGAGCCTACTCTGTTATTTGACACGATAGCCATCATTAGCTGGCCAAAGGAATTGTGCATTCAGAATGATATAGCAAATAATCTAGAAAATTTTTTAAATATTTAGATGTTTGCATCAATGTAATTCAATAAACTGATTTTGCAACTTAACCAGTTTTTCAAGACTTTTAGGCCTAAGTTGCAAAATCAATTTATTGAATTATGTTGATGCAAATATCTAAATAGTAATACTGGTAATTCCAAAAAAACAAATTTTTTTTTTTAATGCTTTAGTGAATCTGAAGATGGAATTAAAGTTTCTGAAAGCTTTTATCTTTCTAATGGTATTTATTTTGAGAATATATTTAAATATTTGTTTGTTTATGGAGCCATTATATATGTTAAGGTAACATCTAGTGTAATTCAAATTCACTAGAAATAAAGGTAATAAAACATATGCTAAAACATGATATTGTTCATTACACAAACAGTTTGGAAGCAAAGATAATATTTGCAATCTTTTAAATGAAAAGTTAAGAAAAACAATTAAAAATATTATTATTAGAAAAAAAAATTAATTATAAAAGATTTGTGAACAAAATATAAAAAGCTTCATTATTTTAGTCTAGATTTAAAAAGAGTCAGAAGAATGCAGAACATATATCATATTGACGATACATCGTATTACTCAAATACAAGACGCCGTTGATTCTATCTAACATGTTAATTTCTACATGTTCACCCACAGAAATTTTTTTTTTTTTTTTTTTTTAATGTGAAATAAACAACTTGAGACAAATTTGTCAGTACAACTGATTCTGTTGACATAAATTTGTTTAGTATTATTTTTCACTTCATGAGCACTAAGAGGCCTTTTTATTTTTCCAGCTATTATACAGAGGAAAAGTATGGCAATCTGGCAAAATCATGAACTTCAGATTTTTACATTTT